GAACACAGGCAATGTTTTGGCACGTGTCCGATCACACTGCAGGGGGGGTGGGGGGGGCTGCAGTGCCATTGACTTAATTGCACCACCACGCCCCCTCCCGCCCCAGAACGAAGGGGAAAGTTTTGTGAGCGTTTGTGATGCGTTCCAGCAGCTACTGCTCTGGAACGTACCGCAATTGGTGTGAATGGGCCCTGAAGGTCTGCAGTACAGTAAACTTGTTTCAGAAGGAGCTATTTAAAAGCCAACACCAGGCTAAATTTTAAAAAAGCATAAATTCTGACCTTTAATCAGATGCTGCCCCTTTGCAGTGCTCTCTTTTTGCCACAAGATGTCCTCGGTCTTCTGGGTTGAATGACACCCAGGGTCATTTAAGCCAGAAGACTGAGGACAGACTGCAAGCGCAGGGTGTCATAGATCTACCTCCTGAGGAGGCATCACCACGTTGCCTCTGTACTAACTGTAATCCTGTCAGCACCGCTCTTTGCATCATTCAGTCCCACCAGCCATTGGGGGAAGACTGAGAAGGAAGACGCATCATGTAACTGGCCTAAAGGTAACCAAAAAAATACTGCTGGATGAACTTGGGGGAGGGTGACATGAGCCTGGAGTTGGGCTTTAAGGTGCTCAAGAGCATTGGATGACAATCTCCCAATTGTTCCACTTCACCGACACTCTCTGCCACAGGGATTGTTGGGGAGTCCTCTAAGATCCTGGAACTTTAAAACCATCTACAGACGCCCTAAATCGATTGCAGGGGTTATAAAAACATCTCCAATCATTACTGTTTATTTAGTTGATTTACTAAATGAGTAGAGGCAGTTTAATCAGCAAAGTATGAATGTTCCCTTGCAAAGTGATTGTTTACTGAGCTTAGTTTTAAAAAGGGTAAAGCTGTGTTCACTTTTATCAACCCATCATATGCTAGAAAAAAATGCATGTTTTTGTATTTCTCCTGCATATGATTGGGTATTCAAAGTGAAGACTGGTTCACCTTATTTACTAACATTCACTTTGCTAAGTGAACAGGCTCCAGTACTTTAGTAAATCAGCCCCAATACATGTACAGGGAATGTTTGTAACTCATGTATGACACATTATCGAGCACTATATATTGCTTTAAACATTGTTTTTCTTACCTTTTTTGAAACTCATTTAGTTATAGAAAGATGGTAATGCAGCACCATCTGCTGGCGGATGTCATAGTACTCCAAGGGTAAAGTAAAATCCTACAACTATTATTATTATTATTATTAATTTTATTATTAAATGTGTATTGTCACCCTTTTTCTCGGTCAGTGATACCCAATGAAGGATAACACTACCGCTGGCTCCAAAGGGTATCATGTATATTTATTTATTTCAGGTAAAATATAGTGCCGACAATTTCATGCAGTGCTTTACATTACAGTGCACATTCACATTAGTCCCTGCTCCCAAGGAGCTTACAATCTAAGGTCGGTATCTCACATGCATACACACAGGGACAATTTAGACAAGAGCCAATTAACCAACCAGCATGTCTTTGGAGTGTGGGAGGAAACCCACGCAAGCACAGGGGGAACATGCAAACTCCTTTTGCAGATAGTGACCTAGCTGGGTTTTAAACCAAGGACCCCCAGTGCTGCAAGGCAGAATAACTAACCACTACACCACTATATGAAGTATATTATATTATTTGTCAATATACTGGCCTTTTGACAATTTTTGCAGTGGGGCTATCCCAGCACTGGAAGGGTTAACTGCTTCTAGGACCCGGAATACAGAAGATACACTCACGTGATCCTTGTTCCCAGAGCAGTCAGCATTCATCTCTTTCCCCCTCCACTCCAGCTGTGGAATGTCTCTCAACAGTGGCGTAACAATAGCCATAGGAGCCCATGCAGCTGCTATAGGGCCCTGGGTTAGAAGGGGGTCCCGATTAGTGGGGACAATTAGGAAAACGAATTGTGAGGTTTATAGTATAGAAGGGTTAAGTCTTTTCCCCATAGTTCTCCTTATCGCCGGTATGTGTTCACTCACCTCCGGATCTACTGAGCCGACCTGTGACAGTCTCATTGTCACAGGTCGGCTAGAACTATGAGGTGAGTGAAAAGCACAGATCCCCCTCTGTGCAGTAAGCATTTGCTTATCTATCTTTTTTTTTTTAATTATTATTATTATTTATTTATTTTATGTTTTTGACAGGTTTGCTTAACAATCTTAGCAGTGTCGATTTATGGCCCTATGAGCTTCTCCTACAGACTGGAATGAGCCCTCTATGCCTATAATGTAGTTACAAACCCCAGAGCTTCATTTCTATAAAAACCTTATAGGAGGGCTGAGGTTTGTAGTTCTACAAAAAAAAAAATGTAATGAAGCTAGAGTGTAAAGGAGTTTATATTGTTGTTGAAGAGTAATTGTGTGCAAGAGCATTCATCGTTTTATCAAAATATTTTATATTATGATTAGGGATGCACCAATACCGATACCCGTATCGGTATTGGTGCTACTAGTATTGGTGCCAATAACCGAGTATTTGGGCGAGTACTCGTACTCACCCAAATGTGCTGATACTTACCCCCGATCCTGGAACTTCCAGTCATGAGGAGATTTGGAGCCGGCTTCCCGGCCAATTAGCATCGAGCCGGTGTTCTATCACTTCAGAACACCGGTCAAACAGCATGGAGCCGGCTTCCCAAGCAATCTAGAAGCCAGGTGGCGGGTAATGACACGCCGCCTGGCTTCCTGATTGTCCGGGAAGCCGGCTCCATGCTAGCGGAAGTACCGCTATACTAAGATAGAGCTGCTGGATCGCTTGTATTTTGTGCGGGTGTGCCCCCCTGTCGCTCCCGCTTGTGAGATTCGCTGTGCCCAGTGCTGCCGGGACTGGCACCACGGCTCTGTCTCCGGCAATCAGAGGGAGTTCAGAACACCATCCCCCTCTGATCTCCTCTCCTGTGTCAGAATGCAGGAAGTGATGTATATTACATCACTTCCGCATTCAGCTGTCATTCCCGCCGACAGAAGCCGGAGAGAAGCTGGTGAAGCAGATCTCTGCTTCATCAACTTCTCTGGGGTTCACTAGGTGACATGAGGGGACTTAGAGACCCCTGATGTCTCCATAACGAGAACCTGTCACGTAAATTGACATTTAAAAGGGGGCTTCTTAGCCCCGTATGTGATGGCAATAAAGTTAAGTGTAAAAAAAAAAAAAGTTTAAAAACCATTAAGAAGCCAAAAAAAAATTAAATCACGTATAAAAAAATTGAAATAAATGTAAATCCCACCCCCCACATACACAAAAATGTGTTGGGTGCGTCTACGTGTGAAAACGACGATTACGCCGCACATGTTGCATATCACCGCGAACATCAGATCCTGAGCAATAATTCTAGGGCCATTAATCACTGATAACATTAAACTGATGAGCAGTAAAAGCTTTTAAAATGTCGTCTTTGGCCAATTTTGGGTATAGTTGTTTGTTGCGATTTTGTGGGCGCACGCAATTTTAAGGCTTGGCATTTTGGTGTCTTTTTACCGGACGTGACCCCGTCTTTTATATTTTACCATAAAATTGAAGTGATAATAAATGTTTCATAACATAACATAGGGAAACAGTTTTTTTCAAAATGTTCTGTACTTTTTCTGTTAGAGTAAAAAATAAAAAACCCCCGGTGGTGATTAAATACCACCAAAAGAAAGTTTTAAGATGTCCCCCCAAAAAAGTATAAAAATTATTTCAGTACAGCGCTGCATGATGGAATAAATATCAGTCAAAGTACCGCAGCGCTGAATACTGAAAAATGCCCTGGACAGGAAGAGGGTTTAACACCCCAGTCAGCAAGTGGTTAACTGACACATATTGACACAGCTAAATTTGGGCTGGGCATACAGGAACTCTGGTCATTAAAGGAGAACTATGGGGTTAAGTCTTTTCCCCATAGTTCTCCTTAGGGTAACGGGAGGACGCTAGTTTGTGTCACCCTAGGCTGTAGCTGCGTGACTGACAGCTGGCTCTGGCTATCTAAAGGCAGAGCCAGCTGTACCCACCCCCTCCCCCGTCCGTTCCGCCAGTCAGCGCTGGCGGATTGGAGGGGAGAGGGGGGAATCCAGCCACTCCCCTGTCACGGCAGAGAGCCGTGACAGGATCGAGAGGTGAGCGAACGCCGGTATGTGTTCGCTCACCTCCCGATCTACTGAGCCGACCTGTCTCATTGTCACAGGTCGGCTAGAACTATGAGGATGAGTGAAAATCACTCACCTCATAGTTCTCCTTTAAGGGATTACATTTTCAGTGCTCGGCGTTGTGGTTTTTTTCTGGGTGTAAGGTTGGGGAGTTAGGAAGTTAGGGAGTTAGGAAGAGAAGTTAGGCTAAACCTGGACATACTTTGGTAGATTTCTGTATGAACATTCATAGGAAAAATCTTCTAGAACATTCGGCAATCACATCAGAGATTTGATGAATGTCATTTGATTTTAAAATTAGATTTTGGAATGAATTTCCTGAATGAAAACCACATTCAGAGTGAGAATTGTATTCGTTTAAAAAATATTTTTCCATTCTGCATCTATTTTCTTTGTCACTATGGTCGAAAACGATCGTCCATTTGACCCCATCAACTCTTAGAAAATCGAACTAACGTTCCAAAAATGAATTCTTTTAAGCTTAAGGCTTACGGGTTATGGTGAGGTAATCAGTAGAAGGTTTTGGGGTGTCACTATAACCAACTAAAACATAAGCACTGTAAGCATCATTGCCATATATACTGTATAAAGGCAAAAAAGTTACTTGTGCACCTAAATGAAAAATGCTTAAAAAGATTTGCATCACTGCGTCCAAAGTTCTGATTATTATGGGAGATGAAGCTGTGTGCAACATGTCATTATTATTACCAGAGATCAAATGGAATTTATTATCGTCACCAGAGTGTTAGTGACATTTACATTCTCCTCCTCCCCCTGGTGAGAATATCATAGGGAGGGGAACCTGTAGAAAACCTTCCGCAGCAGCTGCAGGTGAGATGTCAGCTGGGGACACGCAGGGGCCACAGACCCATCTGCCAGAACTTCTGCCAGGTAAATTGCAATATCAGACATTAGAGCTTGGAGCAAATATCAGTCAAACATTGTTTTTATTATAATGTACTTGTGCTCATGTGCTGTGCTGTTATAGGATATAAAAAATTAGTAGCAAATTGTTTCAGTTTCTTTAATGCCTATTTCAGAATGGAGAGGGTTTGTTTCAGTGTTAGTAGCCATAAGATTTAAATAAGGGGGGAACGTTCATTAAAATATTAGGGACACAATTAGATGCAAATGAACCTGCTTCTCCATTAGCAAAGTTGTTATAGTTTTTAGCCTGCAATCTTGGACAGTAAACCGAGATTGATTTGCACAATTTGAGAATGATAGTAAATCCGTCTCATAATCAGTCCCATAGATCCTGGTCACCGTTGCCTTACTGTGTGACAGAATTGATAAACGTTCCCCTGTGTGTTTTCTGTTATGTAACATTGTGGCCTTGGCTGGATTTCACACAAGGCCACCGAGACCCGACCTCAGGGCGGCAGGGAGTAGAGGGGCGGCAGGGGTGTGGAATTCCTAGACGCTCAGGACATGCAGTTCTGGGGGCTGGGCGGGTAGTTGTTTTCTACCTATAGCCCTGCTTTGAGCAAGCAGGGCCAAATGTAGAGCGGGGAAGCCGCTCGGAAACGTCCATTCTCCACTCTGCTCCATGTGAGCACTGAGACGGGAGAGCTGCACTCGCAGCCTTCCCATCTCAGCTGTCACATGAGTTCCAGCACAGTACTGTGCTAGAACAACTGTATTGGAAGTGTCAGGTCCAATAAAGAGAACCTGTCACCTCCTTGTTAGCTCCTGTGTGATAGCAATAAAGTTAAGTGAAAAAAATTAAATGAAAATGTAAAAAATTTATATAAAATAATAAAATAAATATAAATTAACAGTAAAGAAAATAATAAGAAATAATAATTTAAATAAAAAAGTGGTTAAAAATAATAAGATAAAAAATTATTTAAAAAAAAAGAAAAAGATAATAAGATAAATAAAAAAAGTGATAAAAAAGTTAAAAAAGAAAAAAAATTTAAAAAATGAAAACTAACCCTGCCATCTGATTGCCATTCTCCATTTGCGGGGGGTGGGGGAGCGCATTGAGGAACATCAATCCGGCCCTGATTGTGACAGCTCTCAACTCAGTTATCTTTGACAAGCCGTGTACTATGGCACCATCTGTCACACACATGGCACATCACCAAATAATTATCTACCATGGCCATCTACACTGGGCTTCAGCTTGTGGGGAGAAGAACCCCACAATTCAGATACGTGGGGGGTGCCGATGTGACCATGTTTCATGTTACGCCCTGATGTGCATGTAATATCTTTTGCCAAAATTTCAAGTACAGCGATGTAACAACTAAAAAAAGCAACACTGTGACCATTTGCATTTTTTGTTACTTGGTCAGAAGTGTTAATTTATAAGGATTACAATTGTCCGCGTTTCCTGTCTGTAGGTTCATCAGACAGAGCTCCGCCCATCGCTGTGGGCGTCAAGCAGCTGACATATATAGAGGATCAGCAGCCGGAGCTAAATGCTCGCGGTCAATGGGCGAGCAAGGCGGAGTTCATTTTGTCCGTGGTGGGTGGAATCATCGGGCTGGGGAATATCTGGAGATTCCCATATCTGTGCTATAAAAATGGCGGAGGTGAGGCGTTCACTTGTATCTGTTTTTATATACAAACTAAGCAAAAGAAATAAGAAAAAGTTATCAGACTTTGTAAAATTTGAGGAATGGTGTTACCCGTTCTAACCTGGCTGTTCCATGTGCTGACCCATGAGCCCCTTAAGCTGGCCATACACCTATAGATTATCTGCAGACTTTCTATGGTCAGATGGAAAAAGTGCAACAGATTCCTCCACCTACGCTACACTGTGTGGATGGAGGAATCCCCCACTGGGCCAAACTTCAGTATCTTGCTAGTCGGCCCCACTGGCTGTCAAATTATCTGACCAATGCCTGCATCTAATAAGATTGTTCAGGTATTTTGAGAGCCAGCGCGGCCGACTAGCAAGATACTGAAGCTGTTGCACTTTTTCCATCTGACCGTAGAAAGTCTGCAGATAATCTATAGGTGTATGGCCAGCTTTATACAGCCCTGGGAAGCTCCGCCCCAAAAACAAAGTCCACCATAGCACCATTGAACACTGATAAGGAACTTGGCATCAAACAGTCTGAAGAGCAAAGGGCTGTAAATCCCTGAATGTTTTCACACTTTAGTAAGAGGAAAGAAATTAACTCCTGCACAACCTCTTTAAAGTTGAACTCCTGGCAAATATAAAAGACACAAATGAATGCAGCTTTGTAAGCATTAGTACATCATTCAATTTATTTTTATATGCAAGCAGTGTATGTACCTGAATGGGACTTAATATCAGACTCTTCCAGTCCCTGTACAGTAGAACTCAGACTGGGAGAGGAAGAAGCTAAACAAGGAGCCAATGAATTCATGTACTGATAGGTAGCATGCTGATAGGAAGAGAGAGCAAATTGACAAAGTGATGAGCTCATTGCTGTGCTGCTTACAGGCATGTCCAGGCATGGGCTCAGAGGTGGGTCCATAACAGTTTAGAGGAAGTGGTTTTAATTATGCTGGACATCATTTAGCTTTGAAGACTGAGGACATCTAGTGGTGAAATAAAGTGCTGTTGGGTACAGCTCTGGACTAGAGATCAGTATTGCAGCAAAAGCTGCTGATATGTTTGATCCTTTAATTGGCTAATAATTTCTTCAGATTTACTATCTGCTTGTAGTACAGACCTGTGTCTGTGCTTTGCTGCTCCTCTCATCCCAAAGCAACTCTGTGGGATAGTAGTGACATAAAATGTCATTACTTTAAAATCCTGCCATGTTACATTTGTCAGAAAGTTGGCACTCACTGTAAAAAAGAAAAGAAAACTAAATGAAAATATAATCTAAATTTTAAATTCATATTTCTCCATACTGTGCAGTTTATAATGAGTATTGTATATATTCAACACAGGGGCATTCCTCATCCCATACGTCATTTTCATGGTCACCTGTGGAGTTCCCATCTTCTTCCTTGAGATCGCATTGGGGCAGTATACCACACAAGGGCCGGTCACTGCCTGGACAAAAATATGCCCCCTCTTCTCTGGTAAGCGCGGGACAAATAAAACCTCCACATGAATACAAAAATATACACTTAGGTCATTATTCCTAATTATTAATCACAATAGATGATCAAATTGTGCACTGTGAAGTCACTTCATCTCCTGTCCTGTAGACACAACAGGAAGTGAGAGGAAATTCCCCCTAGGCAGTTGTCACCAGAAGAAGTGTCCCCACTATAGGATTTCCGTTATATTCCTGTTCTGGTGACAATAATAACAATTATTTTTTACATTTTCAGCTGTGGTGATAATGGTGACCAGTACATAGAGAGCGCTTAATATCGCTAAAGACACTAACAGTAATTAAAACTTGACAGGGGTTCTTAGCCTTGCATACACCATCCAAAACTAAAAAAAAACGTTTTGGCTTTAGATAGACTTATCCATGATATATACTCTTAAGCAGTGGCGTAACAATCACCATAGCGACCAAGGCGGCCGCTATGGGGCCTGGGGGACAGGGGGGCCCAGGCCAGGACATTCCTGATGCCCTGCAGGCCGCCTGGGTCGCTATGGCGTCTCATGCTGCTGGCTGTCACTGGCGGCTCTGAAGAGAAATGTGCCGCTGTTCAGATCACTGACAGTGATCTGTGCAGCGGTGCATTCCTCTCCACAGCCGCTGCTAAATCAGTGAGAGCCAGCAGCGGCGTTGGAGAAGGCTGGACCCAGCAGTGGAGGAGGCGGGGCCCGGCAACGGGGGAGGGGGCGGGCCCGGCGACGGGCGGAGGAGGCGGGGCTCATCACAGACGGTGGAGGAAGAGAAGAGGAGGCAGACAGGTAAGAAGTGTGACCAGCCCACCTGAGTGTGACCCTGCAGAGCCCACCTTAGAGAGTCTATGGTGGGCTCTGCAGGGTCGCCCTCAGGTGGGCTGTTTGGGATCTCAATTGGGCTCTGCAAGGGGTGTAACTAGAGATCAAAGGGTCCCCATACAAAAGTTTGCTTTGGGGCCCTGTGATTTCTAGTTACGCCCAGGGCCGTCTTTAACGCAGGGCAAAAGGGGCAGCTGCCCAGGGCCCAATCATTGTTGTGGGGCCCAAAGCAGCTGCCCCTTCAGCCCACATAAGATAAACACATGCAGGGCTGGCAGCTTCACCTGTGTAGGCAATGGGGCTTGCACCAGCCCTGCCCCCTGTCTGTGTACACAGCATCGGTGCTCTACAGACAGGAGGCTACATACAGCAGCGTAGACGTGGCTCTGGGCTCTGCCCACTATCAACTCAGCCCCGCCCCCTGCTTTCCATACTCTGCTCTCCTGTGTTGTCTGAGGCCCTGCTGGGAGCCCACACCGTGCCCTGAGATGTTACTGTGCCCTGGGGGGGAGGGGGAGGCCCAAGAAATTGTTTGCCCAGGGTCCAATCAATATTAAAGACGGCCCTGGTTACGCCCCTGCTCTTAAGTGTGTGTGTGTGTGTGTTTGTGTGTGTGTGTATATACAGTCATCCCTGGTATTTGTCTGGGCTATGAAATATGGGACTATTGTGTCTACAGTAACTTGCAGTTGCTGATGACACCAAATGAAAACACATTTCTATTTTCTGGGACAATCAAGGGATCATTTTGGTCTTTTTTGTCCCAAATTTTTTTAATGTTTTTTTTAAAGACAAGAAGAAAAATTGAACTTTCTTTTGGTTTTACAGGTGGTAGTTTAAACCACTTTTCATCAGACTTCCTAGAGTCCTTCCCCACTAGACACAGAGGATGCATGTAGCTGTTGGGACTTGCTATTAGTTTGCCAAATTCATGATCAGTGCAGTCTGCAGCCTTTTCAGCACTGAGTGACATAAACATGTTTCATGGTCAGTGCTTGTTAAACTTTAAACCAAAATTGATAAATTTTAGTTAACTAAGGCTCTCTGAAGCCATTCATTACAATATATTTTTTTTTTTTTTTTTTTAAACAGCTGTTGCTGACCAACCCTGGAAGTGGAAAAAAGGTTTCGTGGGTTAGTCACAAAGCTGCCGAAGGCAGCCGAGTGACTAACCCAACCGAAGTGAAGTGAGCTGAACACTGTTCGGCTATTCACTTCAATCTTGTACGGCTCTGCATGTTCGGCTGAGCCGAAGTACAGAAGTACAGAAGAAGTTTGAGCCAACCCAAAATCCAAAAATAGCAAAATTAGAAGATAAATGAAAATGTTTTTAAAAAAAGGAAAAAAAAAATGTTTAAAGCGTCGCACGCTGACCCGACCGCATGCTTCGGGCTACCGCCGCATAATGAAGCATCTGACAGATGGCGGCAAAAGAATACCAGTAGGGCGGAGCGTTTCGTCCGTTCGCTGCAGCAAAGTGACACTTGAGGGGATTTTTTTTTTTTCTCAAATGTCACTTTGCTGCAACGAGATGTCGTCCAACAAACGGAATTTCGTACAGGCTACCGCTAACGAAATAAAATATCGGAAATTCGGATTCGTTTGCATTAGTTAAATCTGTAATTCGGAATTCGGATACATCCGAATCTCCGAATTTCCGTCCGAATTTCGATTCGGAACGAAACAAATCACACATGTCTACAGTATAATACCTTATGTTCATTTCTGCATTTGTACATTGATTTTATATGGTGCTGCTTGAAATTGGGTAAAAGCTGTATGGAAACCGCATGAACGGTCGCCATAGCAATCTATGGGATTGTTCATGTCGATGGATCCGAACCGCCCCGGTGTGAACAGAGCCTTACACCCTCATGGCACCACAGTATGAATCAGTGGCTTTTTCACTGTTTGTGTTTGGTATAGATGGTTCAGTGCTCAAGCTGCTACAGATTGGTCTAGAGAAGGCATGGTATTTTATGGAGGTATCTTAGTATTAGGGGATAAAAGGTTGGGGTTCGGTTAAGGTTATAGTTAGGGTCAAGGTTTAGGGTGATAAGGTTGGGATTACATTTTAGAGGGTTAAAGCTTAAAGCGTATTCAAAGCTGAAGTTGAGGTAGTCCCAAGTGTGAAGGTAAGTCCATACTGTGGAGCACAATGGCTCTGGCTAGGTGCCTTTTAAAACCAATGGAAGGTGTAAAATAAAGAGATCCACACCAAAAGTATAGGAGATGAACAGCTCCTGAAGCATGCTTTTGGTTTAAAGGAGTCAATTTATTCTAGAGTAGATGTAAACCTATATTAACCACTAAAAGTCTACCTAAACCAGCAATTGAAGCCCTGATGAAGTGGGAACTATATATCCCTAAAATGAGTTAGCATGATGTCTGTTATAATTGGGATTGTGTAATGGAATAAATATACATGAACTCCTATATCTTTGGTGTGGTGCTTTTATTCGTCTTCTGCCTTTCAGGTCTTTAATGATGTCCCTGGAGGGAAGATTCAGCATTTGTACTCAATCATATCCTTATCATATGAGGGCAGATCGGCATCACAGATGGTATGTGCAGGAGAACCGATCTGCCCTGGAACAGCTGATCAGTCTTGAAATGTCATTGCTGTCGGACTTTGTGAAACATCAGATCGCACTCACAAAGTTGGATAGAAGTGAGATTTCAGGACCGATCAGCTGTTTCAGGGCAGATCGCCCATTTTTTACCGCAGAAAAAATGGCGTGATTACGTTAAAATGTGTGACCACGTCACCAGTCAAACATTCCACCGCTGAAAAACTGGGCGGGATTATGTTAAAATGTGTGACCACGTCACCGGTCACACATTCTAACGCAGTCACAAACTTTGATAGAACACCAGAATACAAGGGATCGCATATATATAGTCTCCATGCATTCTGGGGCGGGAGGGGGAACGCCCGCAGTACGATCGGCCGCACAGGAACGCATCGTAATAAAATGCCATGCGTTCCAGTGATTTTTTGCCATCCCACCGCACTGGAACGCAGGGCATTTTATTACCTTGCGTTCCTGTGCGCCCGATCGTACTGCAGGCGGGGGTCGTGTCTACAGTGCCATTGACTTGCCATGGCACTGCAGATGCCCCCTCCCCAGAACGTAAGAAGACACTACATATGCGATCCCTTGAGTTCGGGGCACAGGACATTGCGGTAGACGTGCGGGCTGGTGGAAACAAGCCCTAACCCCTATGATGCAACAGGAGTGGATACAAAACATGTGATGTCAGGCACTGACTGCATAGTCTGCAACCCCTCAAACTACAAATAATGAATTGGAATTTCGCTTCTCCCGCAGGTATCGGATATGGGGCGATGGTGATGTCTTTCTTAGCCAATATTTACTACATTGTGATCTTGGCCTGGGCGTTCTTCTATCTATTTAACTCCTTCACAGCCACATTACCCTGGGCATCCTGCAACAACACCTGGAACACAGGTAAAGGGTAGAATCAGCATCTACTATCTAAAAAGGTCCACTGGCAATCTGTTAGTAAAAGAAAGGATCTGCCATTGCCATTGTTTCCGGGGGCACCTTTTACAGTTTAACAGCACATTTTACTACTTAGCAGATTCAAATTGGTTTTTGCACTGAATCGATGTAACATTTTTTGGTGTGTCTCCAACTCCAAATTTCTTAAAACCTTGAACTATGGCTCAGAACATGTACTTAAAGGTTTTTTTTTCAATCCCTAACAATTATCTTCTCTTATTTGGTCACTTTTGGCCAATTACCAGTCAAAAATGTTCCCCTACCCCCCTCTAACCCATTATGAAAGGGTATGTTTTTCTGACGTGGTGAAGCAAGATACATTCCCACAAGGGTCAACATACATCTGCAGTCTCCTCGTACAATCTCTGTATAATCAACTTTAGATTTACAAAAACTATGTAATAAGAGGCCAACCTAAACCCTGATCAATTTGTGTCCAACCAGGAGATTGTACAATCTGATGGTAATGTGTGTGTGGTGAGTCTAAGTCCCCCAGCTCCCTTACCCCTGCCATTTCTGGGGCTGGGGAACACTAATCCAGCACTGTAGATGCACTCAAGACCACCAGTCCCCTCATGCACACTTGTCTTCTGGATTGTGAGAGGACCATGTCGCTGGACAGCCAATAATAATGGTCCTGAAGAAGGACCCCACTGGAAGTAAGCAAAAGAAGAGAGAAGAACAGGGACCTGAGCATCACAAGTCAGTAGAGACATCAGAAACAGAGACATCAATTCTGGTGATCAGTTAGAGGGGGTGCGAGGGGAATTATGTTTATCCTGGAGATGTTCTACCATTGAAACCATTTTGTTATATCTGTTCACTTTCCATAAGTTCAAATTAAAGAATACCTGTTCTTCCTGCCAGAAATCTTGTGAGCTTATTGTGGTCTTTGCCTGTACTGAACTCATATCAGTTAGGCCCCATTCACACTGAGCGACATGAAAATTGCGCGATTTTGAGCAATATTGCGCGCAACGAGTGATATTGAGCAACTTGTCGCGCGACATTGCGCAACTTTTTCCTATTGGGCTGTATGCAATCAGGAGCAAAATCGCTCGAAATCGCTTGAAAAAAGGGTCATGTAGGAGCGACAAGCTACCAGCGATGAGCTACAAGCGATATTGAGCGACGAGATGTGAACAGCTCCATTGAAATGGATTGGAGAAGATACATAGAGCGATATCGTGTGGAAATATGAGCGATATCGCTGCAAAAAATAAATCGCTCAGTGTGAATGGCGCCTTATAGTGCTGCCAGTTGTTTCTGTGGACTACAAAACACTTTTCTCCCCGTGTTATGGGGAAGAGCAGAGGGGGATTCATTAGTCCCATCTTAGGTGACAACGCTAAAGAACATCCCCCATGTAATGAAAATGAGTAGAGGGGGAGGGTTCTGTAGTCCTAACCTAGGGAGACGGTGCTGCTCCTCCATAGATATAGTATGATGAGTGAGCATTATCACCCCAGGACAAAAAATGTGTTACTGCCAAGATTATGAGGTGAAAATAAGGAAAAGAAAACTGAAAAAAGAGAACTAATGCAGCCATCATATCTAAGAACTGGTAAGCTTCCATATATGTCATTTTTGTTATTGGGTTTATATACACTTTTGGTTTAGGAAATTGTTATTTTAGTCTCGTTACTTCCTAAAATACATACTGAATAGCTCATCTGCATAACTTCCACATTTCATAAAACTTCTTCTGCAGAAAACTGTGTGGAGTTTGTTAACCGGGCAGAAAACTGGACTCGGAACAGCAGTCAGACCAGTCCAGAGGTGGAATTCTGGGAGTAAGTAGATGAGAAGAGTCAAAAATTCTGTATACTAATAATTTACAAGAACCCTTTAAATTATATTGTCTATATACAGGAGCCTGGTGTATTCTTGCCTCTGTGTAGGAGCTTTCTGTAATGAAGACCAGTCACTGCTGCTCTTTCTCCTTGTGCAGGGTAATTGGTCCTGTATCCACCCCCTCCTATAGTTTTCTGCAGGCAGCTGCTAGTGGGTGTAGCATACTGAGTCCCTCCCACAGCTCTGCTCTCTGCACCGGGGGGAGGCACAGCCAGGGTCCAGAGCTGCAGGAAGAAATGGGGGCGGCACAGCCTGCAGCTTCTCCTCTGGATCCCCGCTGCTCTCCCCCGCCTGTATGGGCCCATTTTAAACGTTAAAATTTTTTTTGTATTTTTACCCCCAAACGCATCAAAAACCCATCAAAAACGCATCTAAAAGACTAGCGTGCATGTGCAGAAACCTGACCGGATCTGCTCTGCATTTGGTGTGAACAAGGCCTAAGCGTTAGATATTCTTAGAATATAACCCCTAACTGAATTACATCTAGTCTGCTAAAACACTGTCAATCAAACAATTCACATGGTGGTTTTTTTCTTTATTAAAATACTTTTGAATTATTATTTTTTACTGTTTATTCATCTGCTGTTGCTTCTCAGTGGAAACCCAACTCATGCTGATGTTGTATGAAATTGGTCTTGTATCATTTAGGAGGAGAACCCTGGGCATATCAGAGGGCATTCACCAACTTGGATCTATCCGCTGGGAGCTGGCGCTGTGTCTCCTCCTCGCCTGGATCATATGCTATTTCTGTATTTGGAAGGGGGTCAAATCCACTGGGAAGGTGAGACCACACACCATGTGACCCTTTCTCTCTGACTAAGAAGATCCATTCCACCAAAATTTGAAGTTTATATATGTATACATGTATACCATGCTACTCTTAAAGGCAGAACTGCACACAGTTTCCAACCAAAGTCCAAGTATTACAAGGCTTTATGATGAGTTGGACTTAAAGCAGCCAATAAGCCCTACAGTAAACCAGTGCAAAGCACAAAAAAGGCTTCTTAAAAATATCATCACTATTCCAAAATAACAAAGCATTTTTGGAATTGGTGATGGAAGTGAGACCCACAGAAGCTTTTGTATAAGGCTGGAACCACACTTGTCTGTTTTTGGCATATGCATTTTACATTAATGGTTACATCAAGGTCAATGCCTGAAAATGCAACGTTTTACATTACCTTACGTTCTGGGGAGGGAGGGGGCATCTGCAGTGCCATGGCAAGTCAATGGCACTGCAGACACGACCCCCGCCTGCAGTACGATCGGGCGCACAGGAGCGCAAGGTAATAAAATCAACATGCTTTATGGTATTCATACGCATTTTCATTACACGTGTTTTATTGTGTTTCCATTGATTTTAATGCAAACTGCATGTGCCAAAAATGGACAACTGTGGTTCCACCCTTAAAAGCTCTGCTAGGGTTCAACATGTCCAAAAATACACTAATGTTAAAAATGTAATCTGAATAATATGTCCTCGGCATATAGAGCCCAAAGGGATAAACTTATGGCACATTGGGATCAATTTACAAAGCTCAGCGTTATTAGAGTAGAAGTTAATTTATCTATCCTTATTTTACCACTCTTTATTTTACAGGCTGAAACATGCAATTCACAAAAGCCGGAATCATGAATGCACACGCAGTTTAACGTTCCTTAAAGGAGAACTATGAGGTGAGTGTTTTTCTCTCACCTCATAGTTCTAGCCGACCTGTGACAATGAGACTGTCATAGGTCGGCTCAGTAGATCGGGAGGTGAGCGAACACATACCGGCGTTCGCTCACCTCTCGATCCTGTCACGGCTCTCTGCCGTGACAGGGGAGGGGCTGAATTCCCCTCTCCCCGCTCTGATCCGCCAGCGCTGACTGGCGGAACGGACGGGGGAGGGTGCGGATACAGCTGGCTCTGCCTCTAGATAGGCAGAGCCAGCTGTCAGTCACGCAGCTGGGCGGATCCCGGCATAATTGTCGGGATCCGCTTCAGCTGCGGCGTCTCAGTATACCGCGAGCTGCAGCTCACGGTATACTGCGGCGTCTCCTAAGTATGACGGGAGGACGCTAGTTTGTGTCCTCCCTTTACCCTAAGGAGAACTATGGGCAAAAGCCTTAACCCCCATAGTTCTCCTTTAAGCAAGTGATATTTTAACATCACAGACTTTATTTTATCTATTACTAAAATAACGTTTTGGGTGTTATTTTAACACTTTCACAATTTTGGTAGCAGAAGGGCTGGAGCAGATTCCTAAATGACTGTTACTTTCACTTTCACCACACAAAAGGATTTCACATATAAGGAAGGAATATATTCCATATTCACCACATTCACCACATGCATACTAATTTTAAATTTGGTAGAGAAGAAATCATATAGAAATAACAATAAAAAAAATTCTGAACGGAATGAATATATGAAACATTAGATTTATTTAGATCTACATCTCTTGACAATCAGACAGTGTAGGGAGGGCAAGCAATTCTCCTTACCACCTATAAAGCCTGTCTTGATATTAAATATGTTGCATGGAACAATCCACTTGCTCTACAACCCCACTGAAGGGAGTCCAGGGACATTTGATTTTTGGTGTCATGTGAGATTTCCCACTAACCTCTAACTGTAAAAAATCATCTACATTTGTAGAAGGATAAAAACTGTAGAAATTACAACTACATGCCACCTTCTTCTTCTGTAAGCAAAAGCATTAAGCCATGTGAAAATGAAAAAAAAGGTTTAATTTCTATCTACCTCACGTCATCTCAGCGCAACAAGCATCTGATAACTCCTGAAATCTGTCATAACGCCACCCTGAAGGAGGTGATAAATCTACGTCTCAATAACGAGTGATAAAAGGACGTTTTGTGAATTGCATTTCAAGCATATTTTATCACTCCAGTTGTTAAAATAACGTCTGAATAGTTAAAATAACGTCTGAATAGTTAAAATAACATCTGAATAGTTAATTTACCACTTCTTAAAAATAAGAAGCGTTATTGAGTTTTGTGAATTGACTACCTTTACACAGCAACTATACAGTATAACAAGCGATATCAATGAAATAATGGCCGAAATGAAGAAAATAAGCTTTGTGAATTGACCCCTCTGTGTTCTGCTTCCCTCACCTCGATCTGTAATGCATTTATTTAACACTATACTTATATGATATCCATAGCAGTTGGTCTTATGACAAAGAAGATTACAATATGCTGCATGGATAGAATATAAGTGTAAACCTTGTATTACGATCAGATAAAAAGAATCACAAGAGAAATGGATTATAAAAATCTGATGCCCTTGTCAGTCTTAAAGAAAAAATTACTTTTTAAAAAGAGGTCTTTAGCTTTGCTGGTGCTTCACATACAGAGTCCCTTTCAAGGTAAAATGGACATTCATCGCACATAGAAGAACAATAAAGTTTTGCTTACAATGTCAAGGGAGAAGGATACAGGAAAAAGAGGAAGAAAGAGAGAGGAAGAAAGAGAGAGAGAGAGAGAGACACTGGTGGGGAAACAAGAATATCAATATGCCACAATACACTACATGGCCAAAAGTATGCCGACCCCCCTTCCTCCGAATGATGGAGTTCAGGTGGTGCCAGTGGGGAGTCCTGTTTACATTACAGCACAGGCGGACAATTAAGACAATTGTGCCCTTCCATCCTTGTTAAAATAGTTTGGTGAAGGTCCTTTTCTGTTCCAGCATGACTGTGCCCCTGAATACAAAACCAGCTTCATAGAGACATGGTGTGACCAGTTTGGGGTGGAGGAACTTGAGTGTCCTACACAGAACCCTGACCTCAACCCTATTGAACACCTCTGGGATGAGTTGGAAAGCCAATTGCAATCCATGTCTTCTCATCCAAAATCAGTACCTGACCTCACGAATTGGAACAAATGCCCACAGGCACACTCAAAAATCTTGTAGAAAGCCTTCCCAGAAGAATGGAAGCTGCTATACAGAGATAGGCCAACTCCATAATAATGGCCATGGTGTTATCAATTGGATGTCCAATAAACTCATATAGGTGCGATGGTCAGATTTCTACTTACTTCTGGCAATATATTGAATATTAACTAGTAAAACAGTTACAAGACAATATTCACAGTATATCCTGAGAGGATTCCTTTAAACATTTAAACATTCTAGTGTAGAATTACAGTTGTTGGGAAGTGTAACATACAACGTGGTCAATATTACAAGGCAACATTGTAATATACTTAAAGTGACATTAAAGTCTAAATTTGGTTTCCCTCCCCCAATGTTAATATTAGCACTTACCTTAAATGATGTCTCTTAATCCGATCTTTTTCTTTCCTGATGTATTCATCTGTCCCTCCAGCGGTGCGGCGGCTCTCCGACCCAGCGCTTACTCCTCTGTCCCTGCAGGCACTTCAGATCCAGCGGTGTCTGCATGCGGGTGCACGCGTCCATAGACTTACCTTGCGTCTCTGCTCGTCTCCCGGCCGAAAATCCGAACTGCGCATGCGCCCGCCCCAAGATGCTTTGCGGCCGCTCGAGCAGTTTCGGATTCTCGAGCGGGAGCGCGCAGCGATAACACGGTAAGTTTAAACCTAGTTAAAGCGTTTTTTTTTTTTTTTTTACTTTTTGTCTATATCTACTGCTTGCAAGCAGTAGATATAGGCAAAAAAAATGGAGGGTTTAGAACCCCTTTAAGAAAGAGATCTTTGATAATAGAACATTATTACTATGTCTTACTTGTCTACTTCCAATGTCTATGGACAGGTTGTGTATTTCACCTCCACCTTCCCCTATGTTATGCTGTTTATCCTGCTTATTCGAGGAGCCACTCTCCCCGGAGCGTACGATGGGATAATGTTCTATTTATACCCAGAGCTTTCTCGGCTCAAGGACCCCCAGGTGAGATGCAAACATGTTTCTTTATACGAAATTTACAGTCTTTTCGATATCCTAAGATATCAACATGATACAAATAACAATATGAATGAGTGTTAAAATGTGTCTATGAAGGTTCTCATTCATCCAGGTCATGGTATATCTGTAAAAAATAAGTCAAGGAAACTGGACTTGCTGTATTTTTCTTGAAGACGTTTTACTGGTCACCCAACCAGCTTTCTCAATTCATTATTCATTATTTTGGCCATAAATATGGTGAATGTTGTTCCAATCCACATAATCTGTTAGTCACATCCAGGTGTTGATTGCATTTGCATAATTGGAGATTGGTGTTAATAACCTGCCCAGAGAGAATTGTTAAAACAGCATTGTATGTGGCAGTCTGGATACCCGCAAGTTTTAAGGGCCCACTTGTGGTGTTTGAATTCCTTCATCTTGGCCTCTGTTCTGGTGGGAATTTTCTCTGCCCGGTGGTGTAGAGTCCTGATGACTCCCAGTTTGTGGTCTAGTCTGGTCCGTGTGTGTTGGTTTTCAGTAGACCTCTATTTCCAGCTTCCTTTCCTCTTCTACTTTTACTAAACAGTACAAGAAAGCCAGTTTGTTGTTTTGCATATCTTCCTGTGTAAACTTGATGTTATGATTTACTGAGTCGATATGGTCAGTGAAAGCCTGTAACTCTTGTTTGTGAATCTTGACCCAAGTGTCATCCACATATCTGAACCAATGACTAAGTGTTATTTCCTTGAAGGTGGACAGGGCCTTGCTTTCTGCTTCCTCTGTGTACAGGTTGGCTACAATAGGTGAAACTGGCGATCCCATGTTTCTGCCTGTAGAAAATATCTTTGTACTTGAAAAAGGTGGTACTCAGGCAAAGGTCCAATAAAGAACACACTTGATCTGGGTTAAGTTCTGCTCTGCTGTCTAGGGTGTTGTCTAGTAGCAACTGTTTTCTCACTGTCCCAATTGCCTCTGTGGTGGGTATGCAGGTGAAGAGGGATGTGACATCATAGGATACCATTGTTTCTTCTCTGCCCAATATTAAGTTCTTGATTTTGGTTGTGAAATCTTGAGAGTTCTGTATGTGGTGTTGTGTATTTCCAACCAAAGGGGCGAGGACTCTGGCTAAGTATTTTGCCACGTTATAAGTCACAGAGTTTATGCTGCTGTCAATTGGCCTGAGAGGGGTCCCATACTTATGTATCTTCAGAAGTCCATATATACACAGAAGGGCTTCACCAGGGTAGAGGCAATGATACATAGCCCGATCAATGGCTTTGTTCTTTTCCAGCTGTTGTAGTAGATTTATAGCTTTCTTCTTGTAACCACTGGTTGGGTCCCTTCTTAGGGATTCATATGTGTTGTTATCATTCAGAAGTGCAGTCACCTTGTCATCGTAGTCAGATGTATTAAGTACAGCTGTGCATCTTCCTTTATCAGCAGGCAGGATGGTGATGGTCATCTTTTTCAGGGATGTGACCGCCCTCCTTTCTTCTGTAGTCAGGTTTGACGGAGGTGGTTTGGCACTGGCCAGGGCTGCAGACACTTTTAGGCGAAGTTGTTCAGCCTCACCCTGTGGCACTTTGTTACTGTGGATTGAGGCCTCAGTAGCTGAGATAATATCCACAACAGGGATGGTTCTGGGTGTGATTGCGAAATTATGAAATTATTATGAGCTTCAATTATGCAATGCATGTGACTAACAGATTATGTGGATTGGAACAACATTCACCATATTTATTCCCAGATAATTTTTGTAGAAGTCATTCTGAATTGAGAAAGCTGGGTGGATGAGCAGTGAAACGTCTTCAAGTTGCCTTGACTTATTTTTTTTACAGATATGAGTGTTAAAATAATGCCTTGATTCTATGTATAATTTCTCTTTATGCCTGTAAATACGGCTCATATTTGCTCATTACATACTCAGGCCCTGCTTCCTACTTTGCAGCACTTTACAAATGTTATCTATGAGCCAGCTGGCTCATTGAAAACAATGCACTCCCCATGTTTCTAATATCCAATCTCAACACCCGTTAAAGCTAAAGTAAACTGCTATGTGAAGGCTGGGTTTGGGCCCTAATATGCAGGTATGCACAGCACGCTTGCACATTAGGGCACATTTCCTTTACAAGTGTGCACTCCTACAATGCTCTCGGATTGATCTTCGGTCCTGCCCACTCTGTGCCCCTGCCACCTACATCCTCTTTGGCATCCTCTTTGGTCATTCGGTGGCCACTGATGATGAAACACCGCTTGGCATTCACAGCATCTTGGAAATCCTGTAAATGGGCTGAGTATGTACACTGCATGGTGCATGCATCCCACAGTGTACACAAAAAATAAAACAATCTCTTGGTAAGAGAGGAAGAATTTGTTTGCATCTCTTCTGCCCAAAATCCTATCTCCCAGCAGTTTATTATTTGTGTGAGACAGTTTTATGTGGCTTTCGCCGCTCCCTCTAGTGGCCACTTTACAAATCTCTATATTCAACACAATATTAGAAATGTAGAAGAGCAAGCATTTAAAGAACAACTCTGTGTAAAAATTTCCCTAACCATTGCAGTGGGGCTACCGTCGATCTGCAAGGGTTAAGGGCTCATTTTTGCCTAGGTTCAAAAACAACAAAGTTATACCTTGGAGCTGGCCGGCTGTGACAGCGCTCCCTCCTGCCTGTCTCTTCCTCCACCGCAGTCATTGTAAGTCCCTTGATGAACCTAGACAAAAATGATCACTTAACCCTTGCAGTGCAGGGGTAGCCAAGGATTAAGGACATTTTTACTACCCGGAATTCTGCTTTAAAAGTGTGGCTATGTTTTACATCACCTTTGCTGGAAATAGCACACAAACATTACACATCCTTGGAGCTTAACTCTACCTTGCCCCAATTTCCAGCCTCCCCCCGACCTACATACTGTATGTATAT